AATTTTTTTTGTTTCCTTTTAAAAGTCTCCCAAAATCTTGGTATGTATGAGAAACTTATTTTGAAATTTTATTTTTGTACTTTTTATTATAAAATTAGTGCTCAGGAGACTTTTTAAAAAATCTTTAAAAGTCATTAACATTTTGAATACTAAAAAACTTTTAGAGATTTCCAAAAAAATTTAATTGAATATATCAAAAATTTTAAATACTTTTTATCAGTCTATAAAAATCTATGTTGGATGTACCAAAACTTTTAGCCTTTGTTTGATTTCCATAGATCATAGAATTTTTGGTTAAAAATAGACGTCCACTGAAGTAGTAGTCTACACACTTTGTAAAGTCAGCGATGAGGCTCAAATAAATTAAAGATTAGGGGCCAAGGTGACACTAAACCCCCATTTTATAGAATTTTATTTAGAAATAATAAGTTTTTGAATAGTAAATTTTTGAAGAATATGAAATTAAAAGGTAGGAAATTTTTTGATTTATATGAAGATTATTTTATTATGCTAAACGAAAAGATCAATGGCCAACCAGAAATGTAAATATTTATAAATTCACCGAAAACCCCGTGTGCGATTAAATGCCAAGTCATATGACGTGTCTACGTAGACCGGATCTCGACAACAACTTATCTCCCCTGTAAATTACGTGCCAGATTACTATGAGAGGAGAGATTTTTCACCCGCCCAAATTTTCTTTGTATCATTCAATTTTGTTAAGCAAAACCCTAATAATCAGATCAGATCTTTGTACAATTTATTAATTTCAGACCCCATATGTGAATAATTTCACAGTTTCGCATACAAAGAATAAGTAAAAATGGATGCGGTGTCGATCCGGGTGCCGTATAAGAATTTGAGGCAAGAAGTGGAATTGGTGGGCGTGGATGAATCGGAACTGCGTCGGTTACAGATCCATTCGTCTAATTCCTCATCGTCCCCGTCCAGGATATCCGACAGCGGAGAGACGCCACCGGATTCGAATCAGAACCAAAATGTTGAGCCTCCGAAAAATTGTAGCTTGATTACGTTGATCTTGATTTGTACGGTCGCTGCTGGAGTTCAATTCGGCTGGGCATTACAGCTCTCCCTTCTCACTCCTTACATTCAGGTATTATTGTCTGATACATGCGTACTTCTGTTTCATTGTACTGTTAAAAAGCTTAATCCAACGGACGTGTGTATATATGTAATATTTTGGTGGATTGATTAGTGAGTATGAGTGTTCTTAGTTTTTATTTTTTGGACTTTTGTGGCCTGTATCTTTAGTGGGATTTTGGGAATCTGTGGATAATGATTTCCGTTCATTGGATTTTGGGATTTTTCATTTTTTCCCTTGTGTGGATATAACGTTATGATCTGAAAAACGAAATAATTGTTCTTTCTTTATATTCGGTTAATTGTATAGAAATGTACAACGCTCTGTGTATATGGCTTTAGTTGTTTTTGGTGGGGTACAAACAAGTTTAAACAGAAAAGTAGAAAGTATGGTTACTTCATCTAATGGAATCAGTTGGTTGAGGTTTAGAAATGTGTTATAGAAATGCGTTATAGAAATGCTAAACACAGAATTCACCAGAGGATTTGATGTAAGATGTGAAATATGGAGGCAGTAACAAAGTATAAATTGAAGCAGCTTTATTTTAGTATTTCCATATGCCATCTACTTGAACAAAATATGAACAATGAATTTATAACTAATTTCAGAGTGATTTTTTTATATGCATTTCAATGATCTAATCGAAATCAAGCAGCCAACGAATTAACAACATATAGAAAACTAGATAAAAATTAATGGTTGAGATAATACTCAAAAGGCCCAAGAATTAAGTAAAGATTCCCCTCTTTCTTTTTGTATTTATTTTGTGGTTCTTCTCTTACCATTATGCTCGTTTCCTAGTTTTTTCATTTCAACACTAAAAGCCACTAATATCTCGCCCATGGGGCACTTTTGACAACTATGTGCAGTTGTGCATGGACATAGCTTCTTCCATCCCTTCAGTTGTGATAAGCTGATTAGCAGATACTTTTTATTGTTGTGATTACAGTTCCCGTTTGCTTTTCTTCATTTCTTTCTAGGGCTAACAAAAATACCTGATTGATCCGAGACTTGGGGCCCCGATCCAAATGGGCATGAATTCCTTGCCATGTTGGGTTGGCGGGCGGGTTTGGGGCAAGTCTTGCTTGGACTTGATTTTGGAGTGGGGCAGGTTCTCCCTGCCTCGTTTAGTATTATTGATAAAATTAAGCCCTTGTTTGATGTCCATTATTTTTAAAATACATTTTTCTCCCTCTTTTTTTCAACCACACATTTTTCAACAAAATAATATTACATGCTAACCCAAAACTTTTCCTAATTTTTTAACAATACATTCTCCATCAATATACTATCCCAAAATGCATGTTTAGCAAAAAATGAGGCTAAAACAAGCTCTAAATTTCAAAAAAAAAAAAAAAAAAAAAATAATAATAGTAATAGATTATTAAATAGACCGGTTAACGGGATAAATGAGTGTCCGCCCTGTCTTAAGTGGAGCAAGGGGCGAAATCCCCAACAAGATTTGGCTTGGAATGGCCGCCCTGTTCCGAACCCTTCCCATTGTCATCCCCATTTCGTTCAACTATTAATGGAGTGGCTAGTGTAGCATATTAGCTGCTGGTCAATGATAGTTGAGTATTATGCCTAATAGGTGAGTATTACGCCTGTTTATTTTCTGTAGTGCCATTTCTTTTTCACTTTGGCATCACACTACTAATTGGAGGTGGTACTAATCGAGAATAAATTAAAAGAACGAAGACTAAGGTCTCCCAGTATGTCTGACCTTAAGAAGCACTTGTATACAAAAGCAGTGCAGTTCAAAATATAAAAAGATACAAGGGTGGATGTAGACCAAAATCAACATAACTTGACATGGGTAAAGGATTTAGATCGTGATAGATATATGAATTGATTGTACGGAGTGGTGAAAGATGATTCATGTAGTTGACTCAAAGTTTAATAAGAATAATACTTTTTTTTAATAGATAATCCAAAATTTTATTCATCGAAAAAGAATACACGGGAAGTATATTATCAACTAATACAAGAAAGAAAAGACATAAAATTAGGCAACCCCTCTATAGGAATACTAGTTGCGGCATTAAACCAACTATACAAAGTCATGTAAAAGAATTCTCTAAATTGCTCTGTGGTCCGTGTTTGGTTTTCTAAACATCGGTTGTTCCTTGCTCTCCACATACACCATATAATGCATCCCGGGATAAGATTTCATACAAGCTTGCTATTCTTATCACGAAGCTTTCTCCTCCATGCTCGCATCACGTCCTCTATGCATCTTGGCAGAACCCAATCTATATGTTGAGAAGCCAAAATATCATTCCACAGCCACGAACACCATCACAATGAATGAACAAGTGGTTATGCGTCTCCCCAGCACCCTTACACATATAACACCACTCGGTTATATAGAAGCCTTTTCTTCGAAAGTTATCCATTGTCAATGCTTGTGTCCTGACAACCGTCTATAGTAAAAATGCAACCCGTGGAGGCAATTTACATTGCCATACCATTTTCCGGGGGAAAGAACTTTCCATAGGTCCCAAGAGGGATCTAAAATAAGAGCGAACTGAAAAAATATCATTCCGTGCCAACCTCCATCGGCTACGATCATCCTCTCCAGCTCGAATTTTCACATCATACAAATGAGATAAAAACAGTGTATAATCATTCAGTTCCCAATCCTGCAAACCCCTCTGAAAGGTAATATTCCAAGTGTAATTCCCATTGTGAACGGCTAAAATGTCATTCACCATAACAGGTGACGTCATAGTAATGCGATACAAGGAAGGAAACCCCACCTTTAGCGGAATATCTCCACACCAACAATTATCCCAAAAACTGATATAATTACCATTCCCCACCACAAAAGTCAATTTGTCCTGAAGGTCGCTCCAACCTCGCCGAATATATCTCCACAAACTCACCTCATACGACCCACGACCCTCACCCGAACACCAACCCCCCTCCATCACTCCATACTTCGCCCCAATGATTTCTCTCCAGAAGCTCTCCCTTTCCCCTCTAAATTGCCAGAGCTATTTACCCAATAATGCCTTGTTAAACAAAATGAGCCTTCTCAATCCGAGGCCCCCCATCCTCACTGGAGAGCACACAGTTTTCCAATTGACCAAATGAAGTTTCTTCTCCTCTCCTAAACCAGCCCATAGANCCATCACTCCATACTTCACCCCTATGATTTCTCTCCAGAATCTCTCCCTCTCCACTCCAAACCGCCATAGCCGTTTACCCAATAATGCCTTGTTAAACTAAATGAGCCTCCTCAATCCGAGGCCCCCCCATCCTCACTGGAGAGCACACAGTTTTCCAATTGACCAAATGAAGTTTCTTCTCCTCTCCTAAACCAGCCCATAGAAATTCCATTTGAATCCTCTCTAATCTATTTGCTACTACAACAGGGATTGGAAACAGTGATAAAAAATAAGTAGGGATATTTGAGATAACAGATTTAATGAGAGTAAGGCGGCCTTCCTTCGAGAGATATAGATGCTTCCACCCTGCTAACCTCCTTTTCACTTTCTCCACAGTAGCATTCCAAATATCAATACTTTTAAATCGCGCCCCTAAAGGGAGTCCTAGATATGACATACGTAACTGCACTACCGAACAACCCAAAATAACAGCGAGTTTCTCCACGTTAGTGACCTCTCCTAGAACTTCGGATTTCCCCAGATTTATCTTCAAACCAGACACTGCTTCGAAGCAAAGGAGCAACCGGCGTAAGTTCCTGAATTGCTCCTCATCCGCGTCACATGAGATCAGCGTGTCATTATAACAAGTAGGACACCTGTAGTTGACCAACCGTAAAACCTTTTATCAAGTTCTCCTGCCTCGCTTTCTCGAGCATCCTACTGAAGGCTTCTATTACAATAACAAACAACAATGGAGACAAATGATCCTCTTGCCTTAACCCTCTGCTGCTCCGAAAATAGCCCTCAGGTGTGCTGTTGACCAGAACAGAAAAAGAAACGGTAGGGATACAGAACTGAATCCACTTACACCACTTATCACCAAATCCACATCGTCTAAGCATAGACATGAGGAACCTCTAGTTCACATGATCATAAGCCTTCTGAATATCAAGCTTGCAAAGCATCCCTGGAATCTCTAGGCACAATCTTGAGTCAATAATCTCTAATCTATTTGCCACTACAACAGGGATTGGAAACAGTGATAAAAAATAAGTAGGGATATTTGAGATAACAGATTTAATGAGAGTATGGCGGCATTCCTTCGAGAGATACAGATGCTTCCACCCTGCTAACCTCCTTTTCACTTTTTCCACAGTAGCATTCCAAATATCAATACTTTTAAATCGCGCCCCTGAAGGGAGTCCTAGATATGACATACGTAACTGCACTACCCAACAACCCAAAATAACAGCGAGTTTCTCCACGTTAGTGACCTCTCCTACTGGATTAACTTCGGATTTCCCCAGATTTATCTTCAAACCAGACACTGCTTCGAAGCAAAGGAGCAACCGGCGTAAGTTCCTGAATTGCTCCTCATCCGCGTCACATAAAATCAGCGTGTCATTATAACAAGTAGGACACCTGTAGTTGACCAACCGTAAAACTTTTTATCAAGTTCTCCTGCCTCGCTTTCTCGAGCATCCTACTAAAGGCTTCTATTACAATAACAAACAACAATGGAGACAAAGGATCCTCTTGCCTTAACCCTCTGCTGCTCCGAAAATAGCCCTCAGGTGTGCTGTTGACCAGAACAGAAAAAGAAACGGTAGGGATACAGAATTGAATCCACTTACACCACTTATCACCAAATCCACATCGTCTAAGCATAGACATGAGGAACCTCCAGTTTACATGATCATAAGCCTTCTGAATATCAAGCTTGCAAAGCATCCCTGGAACCTCTAGGCACAATCTTGAGTCAATATATTCATTCGCTATAAGTACAGAATCCAAGATCTGACGCCCCTTCACGAAAGCATTCTGAATCTTAGACACCACATTCCCAAACACCTCCTTGAGTCTATTTGCCATTACTTTCGCAATGATCTTATACACCCCGCTGACTAGGCTAATAGGGCGAAAATCCTTAATATCAATCACTCCAGGTTTCTTTGGGATCAGCACAATAAATATAGCATTAGAACTTTTCAAGAACATGCAACTCTCAAAAAAATAAGTGAACAGATCAATAATATCCTGGCGCACCACCTCCCAACACGCCTTATAAAATGAGAATGAAAAATCGCCTGGTCCGGAGCCTTATCATCATTCATACTAAACACCACCTTCTTAATTTCATCCTCGCGAAATGGTCTCTCTCCTCTTCCGTAATAGTAGAGAACTCCAAACCTTCCAACTCTGGCCTCCACTCAAACTGTTTCTGATATAGATTCTGGTAAAATCTAACCATATGGGTGCCAATATCCCGTGGATCATCATAAGTAACCTCATCAACCTCCAACACTGTGACAGAATTGTTACACCTGTTAGAATTGGCTACCCTATGGAAGAACTTGGTGCATTTATCTGACTCATTCAACGACATAACCCTAGATTTCTGACGCCATGCATGGTATGAAAAAACCCTGCTGAGGCCCGCCTTGATGCCCACCTCACTGTGAGGTGCAGTTTCTGTGCCTCGAGGCTCAATCTGTGAGGCACAAAAAATAAGGCGCACGCCTGTACATCTAAGGCAAACAAAAAAAAAATGAGGCGTACGCCTCATTTGAAATATGTTTTTTTTCAGATTTTGGAAAAGGAATTAAAAAATGCCCTTTTTAAAAAAGAGAAGGGCCCATTTAAAAAGACATTTTGGGCCAAACAAAATATTAAAATATCTAGAATACCAAAAGGCAGCTAGAAATCCTTCTACACGGCAGATAGAAATTTTCCTAGATGGCCAGAACTACACCGCAGTCAGAAATCTTCCCAAAACTAAACGACAACCAGAAAACTTATCTTCAATCCTTCGCTTAAAAGAGGTCCTTAAGTGTTGCTTCTATGTCTCTTTTCTCCTTTGCTTTTGCCTTCTTCTAGTGACTTACAATTTAAAATTGTTTCCCTAGATTTTGCTTGGCTTTTTTCTTGTTCAGTACATCGTCGCCAGATTGTACCTATTTTGTTGGGCAGATTGCACCTGTTTTGTTTGTGGTGAGGCTTAAACCTTAAAAGTTTTGAGGCTTATGCCTCGCCTTATAACAAAAAAGCGTCTTGGTACCCGTTTACATTTTTTCAAACTATGTCGCCATGCAATCTCTTCCATCTCCACCAACCTCACAAGCTCTGCCCTTAATACACCACGTCTCTCCTTTTCCTCCCCATTCAACCCTCGACTCTCCTCAATCTTATTCAACGCTTCTATGTCTGAAAGACACTAGACTTTACGAAAATTCACATTTCCCACTTCCTCCTCATTCCACATTTTTAAATCCTTTTTTTAAGCCCTTAACTTCTTGTCCAATATATAACTGGGGGACCTCGGAAAATCATAAGAAGCCCACCAATTTCGTACACGCTCCCCAAAGCCTTCCACTTTTAACCACATCTTTTCAAACCTAAAATGCCTAATTCCACTACCCATAGCATTCCCAGCTAACAAAATAGGGAAATGATCAGAATACACCCTTCCCAATCTCCTCTGAATAACATCGGAGTACTTAGCCTCCCACCCTCCACTAACCAAGAATCGGTCTATACGAGATAGGACAGGTTGATCCCGATTTGAAGAACAAGTAAAGTCTCCCCCAATCATAGGCATATCTACCAACAAATTCTTCCTAATAAAATCCGAAAATTCCTCCATAGCTCCAGTTAATCTCCCACCACTCGACCTTTCAGTGGGAAATCAAACCTCATTAAAATCACTCCCACTACACGTAGGGAGATTCTACCAAGTCGTCATACCAGTCAACTCATCCCACAAGTTCCTTCTACTCTCATCAGAATTAGGTCCATAGACTCCTATGAATGAAAACCATTCCCAATATTTCTAAGCGAGAGCAACAACGAGTATGTCCCTACACTAACATCCTCCATATCATACACTCTAGTATCCCACATGATAAACCTTGAGGGGTTTCTTAATTGGATAGATTTTGAATTTGTTCCCCAATGGTCAAAAGTTCGAATCTCCTCAAGGCCACTGAGGTAAGTATTCCGCCAGGGCCCTGTAGGATTAGTTGAGGTACGCGCAAGCTGGCCGGACATCCATGGTTATAAAAAAAAAGTATCCCACATAATAATCATACCTCCTGATGCCCCCAAAGACCCCAAAAAATAATATCCAACATGGCCTCCCCCAATAAGCTACTGACCATATCCCTCGAGACGAACTCCAGTTTAGTTTCTTGCAAACAAACAAGGTCCGCCCTCCATCCCCTTAACAAATTTTTAACACGTAGTCTTTTTCCAACCTCATTAAACCCACGCACATTCCAACTAATAAGTTTTGGGGTCATTTTAACACTCTGTCATCCCTCTCCAGCAATCATTTCCTTGACTCACCACCCTAGCATTATAATTTACTGACCATTCGAGCCGCTTAAGATCGCGAACACCCTTCCTTCTTGCTTTGCCTCCTGGTGTACTCATTTCCTGCCCCCTACTAGCCTCCAGTTCCTCGAATAATTGCATGAGTGTACTTTCGTATCCTTCACAAGACACGCCAACCAACTAACTGAAATCCTGAATTTTTTGAAGGATCCAATTTGAAGGTTGAGGTCTAGCTTCAATCTCATTCCTTCATTGTCTCCTCTGCAAGATAGCACTCCAAAGGGTCATACGAATCTCCTTCCACTTCCTCCCCATGTGCAACATCATTGTCAGTCCCCCCTTCTGGCTGCCTTGTACCCACAACACCAAAGCTTTTTCGGTCCCTAACTCCTTTTCTTTTAGGGACTTCACATGCCTCTCTTCTGTTATATGTGTTTCCAACCATAACTGCATCACGTGCCGTCTCGTGCTCTTTCAGGACTATCAATACTGATATTTTCACCAATACATGTGCCATCTCTTGCTCAACTAAGAGTAATCCATTCGTCGACAAATTCCTATCCGTCGCGTCCAGTGTAGCCAACTCCAGGTTTACCAAATTAAAAACTTGCTCTCCAAAGTTTATCACGTTCTTTCATAAATTAGTGTTTCCGGTGGGACGAAAACATTAATTTATGAAAACACTAATTTATAAAAGAACAGGATAAACTTTGGAGAGCAAGTTTTTTTTCTTATATAAGAAGAGAAAGACGTGGAATCCCCAATTGTAAACATTAACATTGAAGAAAGTTCTGTTGTTTCACTGTATTTTTGAGAAGTGATTATAATCAGTTTAAATTATAAATAGATAGCAATCAATGGTAGAACTTGTATGCCCAACGAGATGTGTGGATAAAAAGTATATTTGACCAAAAGTGATCATTTCACAAACATGCACTTAGTTAATAAGCTTTTCTACAAATATATCTGGTTTATTATTGCGCATTCTGTTTTTTCTTCTTTGATTAACGTTTTTATTATTTCCTTCTGCTGCAGACACTTGGTATAGGACATGCATTTGCTTCATTTATCTGGCTTTGTGGTCCCATAACAGGCCTTGTGGTGCGTGGTGACACAATTTTCTTTCAACTATTTAAGTTTTTTCTAATTATAGCGTATTCAGTTTGATGGCATTTATTTATTTCAGGAAGCTCAATGGTAGTGAAAAAATTGCATTTCCTCAAATATTTTCTGGATAAGTATTTTGTACTTTCAACTGGAAAACTGTAATAGTAACATTGGGCTATCAGATCTTGAACATCACTGGTCACATGAAAAGTCACATTGTAAATTTGATTTTGTCGTGATTGGGAATGAAATCTAGTTTCTGAAGAAGGTAGAGTTTGTGATATGTACAAAACAAATGATATTGGCAGACCTTTCAAATTTGGTTGCTTGTCTAATAAATATTTTTGTGTAATTGTTGAGTTTGTTTCCTTCATTCATTCTGAAATTATTCAAGTCATCACTCTTCCCCTTTTCCTTGTGTCTTCATAACAAGCAAAAGCGATACAAAACTTATCATTGATTTAGAAATAAAAAGATTTACAATTTCCTCAGATTTCTTCCGGAGAAGTGTTTTGTACTTTAAACTGTAAAAATATAATACTAACATCTAATGTGGAGTTTAGTGAAAAACTTAAATCTTGACCATCACTAGTCATGGTGGCAAATTGAATTGTCTGGTGAATTTGGGATGTGAATTTTCATTTTACTTTGAATAAAGCAACGAAGTCCAATACGTTTGGTGATATGAACTGTTGCTAAATTTCTGAACAACTATGCAAATATTCACTCTCATGTTCATATAAGAAACATTATTTTGGATATTTTATTAATTCCATCTTTCAGGTTCAACCTTTTGTTGGTATATGGAGTGATAAGTGCTCTTCAAAATATGGTAGAAGAAGGCCATTCATTTTTGTTGGATCTCTCATGATCTCAGTTGCTGTATGTTATGAAACTCCTATTTGCCTTTCAGTTATTGGTGTTTTTTCCTTCACATCTGTTAAACTAAGTCTTGTAATACAGGTGATAATAATTGGGTTTTCTGCAGACATTGGTTACCTTTTAGGAGATACAAAAGAACACTGCAGGTATTCTTGACCCCTTGATAATGTCTTTTTCGTTTTTCTTGCTTTTGAATGTCAATATGTGTTTAACCAACTCATGCAAATGCAGCACATTTAAAGGAACTCGCTTGAGGGCAGCTATTATCTTCATAATTGGGTTTTGGATGCTGGACCTTGCAAACAACACAGTGCAGGTGAATTCTAAAAGATCAAATTTATGTGCACCCACATGGTGGAAAATTCTTGTTTTTGTCTAAAGTTCTATATTTTTGATTTCTTAATTATTATAGGGTCCAGCTCGAGCTCTCCTGGCCGATTTATCTGGTAATCCTTCTCCAACTACTGAATTTGATAAAAAAATGAAAAGTAGTATCAATTGTATTTTTGGCCACTGAACTCTTAATAGCGAATAGATATCATTCTACTCTTCATGCATTATCTTTTGCACTATAACATAAGTTCAATTCGAGCATTCGTTATGCAATTTATCTACTGCTGAAGCCTGGGAGTTGGTAAGGACTAAATTAAATAGGGTAGCCAATCCATTCAATTCGGAAAAAACCCCTATAAAGATATTATTCTTTGCCTGGCGCTTGCTTAATAAACGGCTTCTATTGGATGATATAAATTTTAACTCAAAAAATTCCCCATACGTTTTGCACAGTTATTTTTTTTTTGAGGAAAAAATGAATCATGCAACTGATTCTGCCACTTCAATCTGTTTTATTTAATCATTTTTATCTTGTTTGCAATTTTAGAAGTTTAAAGCTGATAAACATTTGTTTTCAGTGATATCCCCCTTCCCTTCCCCCATACTTGAACCAGTGATGGAATGTCAGTCAAGCCATAATACCATATAGTGCTGCCCTACCCCTTCTGCCCTTCCCTCTTCTCCAGCCCTAATCTGCCACCCTATCACATTGTCCATTGGCATGAGCCTTACATCAATTGGAAACCCTCAAATTATAAAAAGCCCCAGATTGAACAACCCTATGATCGTTCAGTGGAATCAGAATAAGTTTTACATAATTAAAACTCGTAACATTGCCCACCAACATCTAAGTGGCATCCCTCTCCCCTTTCTCCTCTGTGAAACTTTTGTACACACACAGACTTGTATGAATCTAAGAATAAGAATGCATGACTGTAATACCTGCGGCATTACTGCCCGTACCATCCTCTGCAGCCACCGTTGCATATTCTCATCACTAACATTGACATCATTAATCAATCACCGAACTCCACCAGTCCAACTTCAGAGACTATTCTTTATGGAGGAATTATGCTATCTATGACAGCTGCTGATGATCAACAGTCTAGGTAGTAATTAAGTGGCATTAATTGATATGTCATCTTAAATTTAGGATATGGATCTGATAGGATTCTACAGGAGAAAAAAAGAACAAGGTATGAATGAACCAAACTTTTATTGAAACTGAAGAAATGATTACAGAAAGACAACAAATGCTGATGATCTGTAGTGACTCTCTTTCTACTCCTCTCTCTTACTCTTTAATTGTGTGCCTTCTAATTCCCTCCACTTCTTATTTATAGATCTCCTCTAATTAACTAACCCTTTCTCCCCCAGATTCTGTTACTTCCTGCCAGCTCTTCATGCCTTCTTCTGGGTCCTTCTAGAATAAGTAAATCCGTATAGGAGGTCTATCATTACCCCCAGTTTCCAAGATCACCTTGTCCTCGAGGTGGAAACCAGGAAAATGTTGGCAGTTAGATTTGTATGATTCCCATGATGCTTCAGATGCTGGTAAGCCCTTCCATTGTATCAATACTTCCTTTTCAGAGTGCTAACCCTTTTCTACTGAATGAATTCCCAAAATTTGATCAGATTCTACGGCCCATTCTAAGGCAGCGTCCAACTGTGGAGGAATCTGCTGGGTTGCCACCGCAGCCCCTAGTGCCTTCTTGAGTTGAGAAACGTGAAAAATTGGGTGAATTATAGAAGAGGAGGCAGCTCCTGTTTGTATGCTATGGACTCTATTTGTTTGACAATTTTTAATGGGCCAAAATACCTAGGTCCCAACTTCTCATTTGATTTCTTTGCCAAGGAGCAGAGACGATACGGCCTTAGCTTTACATACACAAGTTCCCCTTCGTCAAACTGGACATCTCTTCGTTGTTTCTCTGCGATCATCTTCATCTTTGCTTGAGCTCGATTGAGGTGAGCTTTCAATTCGTCCGAGATAGCATCCTTGTCCATCAAATGTTGCTCCACCGTTGATGCGCCTGTCTTTTATGTTCCATAACGAATAAGTGGGGGCAGTGTCCCGCCCATACACAACTTGGAAAGGTGGTCTTTGTCGATGCATGAAATGTGGTATTATGCCTATACTCCGCCCAGGGCAGCCATGAATACCAGCTTTGAGGTTTGGAGTAAGTGAAACACCGCAAGTATGCTTCCACACACCTGTTAAAAACGTCTATTTGCCCTTTAGATTGCGGATGATATGTAGTGCTCCGATATAAGCAAGTTCCTTGTAGCCTGAACATTTGATGCTCGGAGTCTTCGAAATGGACGAAGTACTCGTGTCGGACACGACATGGGTATAGGATATGCTTCAAATCCTTCCAGTTTCAACTGGACACTTTGCTGCTTTTGCTTCTTTTTATTCTTTCTTTTTTTCCCACTTTTCTTCTTCGACGACGACATCAGTTCTTCCCTTCTGTTTTTTCTCTTTGCCTTTTAATCTTTTTTCTTTTTTTCCGTCTTTCCTCTTTGTATTGATGGTTTAGGGTTTTCTTTGTATGAAATGAAAATGGGTCTCATATAATGCAACTTAGTATTCCATTAAGTATAAATTGTAATAAAGTCCCTCATTTTCTATTTTATATAGCATTTAGTAATTAACTTTCCATAATTGAAAACTAAACCCCAAAATTCTATTTTATTCGTTTTAACTCCTTCTTCAATTCTCATTTCCTTCTTTATGAAGGATTGATTTTGGTCTATTTAAAATGACATTTTGGATTAATAAATAAAAAATTGAAATTTGAAAGATGTATCCACGTACCCGTGTCCAAAATTTGGACTCTTTTTTGCTATGTCCCCGTATTCTATATTTTAGAAAATAATGGATTCGACACTTAGATACATACCCTTACCCGATACGTGTACCCGAGTTCGAACATCATAGGCCTGAACAGCTTCGTCCAGAAATGACTCAGAAACACCTTATCTCCGTCAGACACAATGGATCGTGGATCCCATGAAGCTTCACTATCTCCCTTACAAAAACTGTGGCAACCCTCAAATCAGCAAACGGATGTTTGAGTGTTAAGAAGTGCACAAACTTATTGAGGCGATCGACTACTACCAACAATGAGTTAAGTCCCCTTTATTTTGGCGGCCCTTCGATGAAGTCCATCGATATATATTCCCAAACTTGATGTGGTATCGGCAAGGGCTGCAGAAGGCCTGCTCGTGAAAGTGCCAGATTTTTGTTGATTTGACGCACAGAACATTCTTCCACAAATTTTGTAATATCCTTTTTCATTCCCCACCAATACAGGTCACTTGTGATTCTATTATAGGTTCTCAAAAGCCCAGAATGCCCACCTAATGAGCTGCTGTGGAACTCCTTAAGTAGTGTTGGAATCAACGAGGAAGAACGAGGAAGGTCTAGTCTTCCTTTGTATACGAGGCTGCCTTGATTAAGTGAGTATTTATGATGTGAATCTGGATCTTTTTGAAGCTCCTTGATTCTGGATAGTAATGGATCCATGTCAACTTGTTCCGCTATCAATTGCACATCCACAATAATTGGAATTGTGATAGCTGAGAGTTCAATTGGGGAAGAAATTCTGGACAACACATCAGCTGTGTTGTTCTCTACTCCGGGTCAGTACTGAATCTCAAACTTATATCCCATCAATTTAGTTACCCAGCGCTGGAATTCTCCTTGTACTACCTTCTATTCCAGTAGATATTTCAGGCTTCGTTGGTCTGTACGCACTATAAACCGACATCCTAGCAAATAATGCCTCTTATCTCTGGATTGCGAGGACCATAGTCATCAACTCTCTTTCATAAACATACTTCTGCTGATATTTTATTGACAATGCTGTAGTACTGAATGGCTCGTTGATTTTGCATCAACACTGCCCACAGCCCATACCCTAAAGCGTCTGTTTCGACAATAAAGACTTTCGAGTTTCGAGAGGTCCGGCAAGGCCAGTACTGGCACTGTAGTCATTGCTTTCTTTAATTGTTGGAGGGCATCCTCTGCTTCCTTAGTCCAAAAAAATGCATTGTTCTTTAACTGCTGTGTCAATGGCCAAGAGATTGCACCGTAACTAGCCACGAAGCTTGTTAAGCCCAAAAAACCTCTGCGTTCCCTAAGAGTTTTGGGTGAAGGCCAATGAACAATGGCCGCTATTTTGCTAGTGTCCTCAGCCACGCCTTCTGCTGAGACCAGATGTACTAAATAGTCCACCTGTTGTTGTGCAAATGAGCACTTCTTATCATTGTTGTAGAGCTGATGCTTAGCCAAGACCTTAAACACTGGTTCCAAATGTTTCCCATGTGACGACAGGTCCTTGCTATACACCAAAATGTCATCAAAAAAGACCAACACAAACTTTCTCAAATACTCCTTGAATACTTGGTTCATTAAGGATTGAAAAGTAGCCGGCGCATTGGTAAGACCAAATGGCATCACCAAGAATTCATAATGTCCTTCGTGTGTTCTAAATGCCGTCTTGTGCACGTCCTCCCATCTTGCGGATGATATCCTGATTTTAAGTCCAACTTTGAAAGTATAGTTGCTCCATGAAGTTCATCTAATAGCTCATCAACAGGAATGGGTAATCTGTCTGGAATGGCGACTTTGTTCAAGGCCCTATAATCAACGTAGAAGAGCCAGCTCCCATCCTTTTTGACGAGCATCACTGGGCTAGAGAAAGGGCTTTCACTGAGCTGAATGATGCCGGCAGCCAACATTTCCCGAACCAGCCGCTCTATCTCATTATTTTGGATATGTGGGTATTGAAAAGGCATGACACTCGCTGGTTCTGTGCCTTCCTTTAACAGAATGGAATGGTTAGTTTCCCATTCTGGGGGTAATCTCTCTATTTGACCAACCACTTGATTATATCGCTGCATTACTTGTTTTATGATTAGAGGTATCTCCTCTTGTGTTTTTCTTTCATTTGCTTCAGGTATATTCCCCAGCCATATCCCCTGCCCTACCTGTTGCAGCGCTTTCACCATTGCCTTGACAGAAATTCCCCGATTTGCTGAGCCCGGAATCTCCTTTCAGCATGATCGTCGTCTCACCCATTTGGAATTGCATAATTAACAATTTCCAGTTGACTTCCATACTTCCCAGGCTACAGAGCCATTGCATTCCCAAGACTATATCTGTGCACCCAACTCCAAGGGCAAAAAATCTTCTACCATTAAGCCCTGCATTTCAAGTGTAACCCTTTGCAGATACAGTTTCCTTTGACAGATTCTCCTGAGCCCATAACAATCCCATAATTTGTAGTGGCTGTAATTAGTAGTCCCAACTTCCTAACTCTAGGGAAATAAAATTATGAGTTGCCCCTCAGTCGATCAAAATAACTACCTCATGCAGCCGCACAATGCCCTTAATTTTCATTGTTCGTCAAGCCAACAACTGAGTTTAGCGAGAGCTCAACTATCTCCGCCACTTCCACAGGTAGGTCCTCCACTAACTCATCGTGGTCATCATTTTCTGTGCACTCTCCTTCGTGCACCAACAACACTCTTAACTCACGATTTTTGCAACGGTGTCCCACGTTGTACTTCTCATCGCATCGGAAACATAGGACTTTCTCCTGCCGTGACTGGCACTCAGCATCTGTAATTCGTTTTGTTGGATATTCCCGGCATGGGTTGTTGAATTTTTCCCCCACCATCACTGACCTCGTAGGGAAAGTCTGGGTCCATTTTACTTAAAAATCCAATTTGGGGCTTTCAATGATATAATCCCCTTTTGGGCCGAGTTTTCTTGGGACATTTTCAGCAACAAGTTGCGCTCCTCTATGCGTTGGGCCACTTCCATTACTTGGCCCAACCCTTTTGGGCTTAGTAACCTGATTTCAGCCCTAATGTCGGGCTGCAGCCCATTGATAAAAATTCCTTCCAGCCAGTGGCGGATCCAAAAAAAATTTAGCACGTGCAAAACAAGTTCACACATAAAAACAAATATTTTTCACTTCAAATTTTTTTTTCTTCAGCATTTGGGCTGGAAGGGACGGGCTGTAGCACTGGCCAGCCTGTCCCTAGATCCGCCCCTCCTTCCAGCACTTCATCCGTCAGTCATTCCCACTGCTGACGCTGCCATGGCTTCAAACTGTCGTCGGAATTCAGCCACTGAACCCTCCTGTTTCGCAGCCAGGAACTTTTCGCATAGACTGCCTTCCTGAGTTGGCTGGCACCGCATCAAAAGTTGCTGTTGGAATTGTTCCCAACTGTGGAACAGCTTCGTCCATTGCAGCTAGGATAGAGCATCTCCATCCAAACTTACCCAATTGCTCCCATTTTCTCCCATTCGGGTAGTCCATTGATTTCGAAATACCGTTCAGCACGAAATAGCCACCTGTCCAGATTTTCCCCACTGAAAATCGGCATTTCCAATTTCCTAACTCGCCGTTAGTTGTTTTCTTCCTTGCTCTGATCCACACCTGCTGGGATTCCTTTATCATCGGTGTCGACTGATCCTTCAGGCCACTTTTCCCTATCTACTGCCCATTGTCCAACTCGGTGTATGTTAGGTGGAGCCTGCGTGTCCGTGGCACTGCCAGAACCTTTACCTTCAAAATTCTTTCTCAACTTTGCCTTTGTATTTAACAATGATGCCACAGCTTTCTGGGTGTCTTCCATAGACTTCAAAACTTTGGCCATGTGTTGGGTGAGGTATTCCACTGATTTTTCCAACCCTGGTAACCTCTGCAGTTCCACCCTCACTTCATCTGCTCCTTCTTTCTATCACCTCCACCTTACTGTCTGTTTTCTTTTGTGCCATCAAGATGAACAACTCTGATACCAATTTGATAGGATTCTACTGGAGAATAAAAGAACAAGATATGAATGAACCACACTTCGATTGAAACTGAAGGAAATGATTACAGAAAGATAACAAATGCTGATGATCTGTTGTCTCTAAATCTACTCCTCTCTCTTTCTCTTTAATTACCTGCCTTCCAATTCACTCCACTTCTTATTTATAGATCTCCTCTAACTAGCTAATCCTTTCTCCACCAGATTCTGTTACTTCCCGCCAGCTCTTCATGCCTTCTTTTGGGTCCTTCTAGAATAAGTAAATCGTATTGGAGGTCTATCAGGATCCCATTTAAAAATGACATATCGATAAATGCCACTTAATTACCACCTAAACTGCTGATAATCAGCAATTATGATAGAGAACATTATTCCTTACGTATATCTGAAAGATAACATGTACATAGAGGAGAGAGAGAAATTTCCAGTTGGGTTGACTGGAAGAGAAGAGAAGATCTGATAGAGGACAGAAAAGGTTGGGATGTGGAATGGGATAATGCAGTGGAAGAGCCTTTCACAGTCTTCTTACCGTTTCTGTTTCTTTTGGGGCCTACAGCTGAAGTTCTACTTCTATCCCCGCCATATTGCATGGACAGATCGTGTAGGATATTTTCTGTTATGTTTATTTGCAGATCTTGGTGGAAGGGGTGCATTGAGCCTGATGTTGTAGTTGAATGGTTAAGCTGAAACAGATTGTGGGGTGCAAATTGAAACCGTAGACAAGTGTAGTTGCTAAAGATTTTTTTTTTTCCCCAAAGGAAAACAAAGGGAAAAAAAATCTGTCCCATCTCTCTCTCTTTTTATAACATTTCTGAGTCGGAGGTTAATAGTTTTCTATAGTATATATTTCTTACATGTTTTATATTTTTATAAATATTTAATATTTTTTTAATTACCTAATGGTAGGTCCTGATCAAAGAAACTCAGCAAATGCTATATTTTGCTCCTGGATGGCAGTTGGAAACATTCTTGGATTTTCTGCTGGGGCTAGTGGAAATTGGCACAGGTTAGGTATTTGTGAATTCTGCAATAATGTTCTCTATATTATGAAATGCTTATTTGGTCTGTATTATTGGGAGCATTGTGGTTCTCAAAAAATTATTATAGGACTAGCAACAATTACATTTCAAGTGGTACACTCTGCTTCCTTTCTTTTCAATAAAATATGTAACAATATGTGTTCTTCGGTAAATCCTTACTTGGAGCATGTTTGGATATGCTTCTTTCTAAAAATGAAGCCACAGGTGTGGCTTCGTTTTTAGAATCATGTATAGAAAGAAGCACACCCGAACATGCTATTATTAAACTTTTTTTCAGAATGATTGATACATTTAATATGTTCTGAACAGATGGTTTCCATTTTTGACGAATAGAGCTTGTTGTGAACCATGTGGGAATCTGAAAGCAGCATTTTTGATTGCAGTGGTGAGTTTGAACAAACGGTTTAAATTGAACAGTGATATATCATTGCAATTGATGGATCTGTTTCCAACTCATATGCATCATATGATATCTAGTGGAATTATCTTAAAATTTTTTTGAAAACAATTTTTCTTTTCGTAGATTTTGCTGTGATGTGGTGACCGTTCTCAAGAACCAAAAAGAGGAAGCCCTATGTGTCATTTTATTGTATATATTAAGCCCCCGTTTGGTTTAGCTAAAATTTAGATTTTTAGTAGATTTTGTTGAAAGTTTATGAAATGTGTGATTGAAAAGTTGATAAAAGTTGTAGACTCCATGAAATGTGTGGTTGAAAATGAATTTGAGTAAAAATGAATTTTAGAAAATGGGGGCCGAACAGGGGCTAAATGACAGTGAAAATTGTACTAATTTTGTTTCTGAAAACAATTTATATTGTTGTATTTTTTAGTTTTTCTTTTTGCTGATAAGAGACACTTGTACATATACAGCAAGCTAGTTTTTTAGCATTTGGCACGCCTTTGATGATGTACCTATGCTATGATTGCTGACAATATATAAGTAATTGTGATCAAGCGTATCTCTGAATATTTGTGTTCATATGGAGAATGTGGCAATTTTTCTGTAGCTTTTGTTATTTTACAATTTTTCACCTTCATCTCGTAAGTTTACTGTTATAGATTGTATCTACCTGCTACCAAACATTGTTTGCACTTTCCAGTTCTAAATTCTGATGTGCAGGTGTTCCTGACACTTTGCACGCTTGTGACTCTCTACTTTGCAAAGGAAGTTCCGTTGATACCAAAGCAACATCACCGTCTATCAGACTCTGCTCCTCTCTTGGATGATCCTCAAGAAAATGGTTCTGACCTTTTAAAATCAAAAACTGATACAAAGTCAATGGATAATAGCCCGGGGAGTAAGGCTGTTAAGGATTATGCAATGGATAACAATTTTAGTAACCAAGGGCTAAAAGATGGGGAAGATCATGATGAAAATTTCATAGATAGTCCTAATGCAGTTTTGGTCAATTTACTGACTAGCTTACGCCATTTACCACCAGCAATGCATTCAGTGCTAATAGTCATGGCATTGACTTGGGTAAGTGCTTTCTGATGAGTTATTTCCCAAGTCAGGTTCCACAGCTAGGGTGCAAGTAGCCTGTTGGATTAAGTTCACTGATGGTCTTTAATTCTTGTATCTCTTACCTTTTCCTTAATAATTCATGATCAGATGTCCTGGTTTCCCTTTTTTCTCTTTGACACGGATTGGATGGGGCGAGAAGTTTTTCATGGGAACCCAAAGGGAGATGTCTCTGAAGTTCAAGCTTATAATGAAGGTGTCAGAGAAGGTGCATTCGGTTTATTATTGAATTCCGTAAGAACTAAAAATTGATATTATCCATTCATTTTTCTCTTTATACATCAATGAAAATTCCATTTAGCAACTGCAGGGTGTACCATCATTTGTAATTGTACTAGCATTCCAAGTCCCTTTATGTTTTCTGTTTGTTTGTTTTGCAGGTTGTTCTTGGCATCAGCTCCTTCTTTATTGAGCCAATGTGTCAGTGGATGGGAGCGAGATTAGTTTGGGCTGCGAGCAATTTTATCGTGTTTGCCTGCATGGCAGGCACTGCTCTTATTGGTTTTGTATCTGTGAGACAATCCTCAGAAGGGGTTCAACATGTCATTGGGGCGAATGGAGCTACTAAGATTGCCTCTTTGGTTGTTTTTGCTCTTCTTGGCCTTCCTCTTTCTGTAAGTATTCTGATGCTTGACTTTCACCCTCCCAGTCTCCAAATAGTGTGGATATGCACAGAAATGTGCATCTCCATTTTTTATTTGAAATCATGTTTCCTGGTTTTTTCTTTTGATGCTTTACTCTGTATTGTAGGTCACGTACAGCGTGCCCTTCTCTGTTACTGCCGAGTTGACTGCTGATTCAGGAGGCGGCCAAGGTACTTCTAGAGTCTTCTTTGTTCTATCTCTGCTATTTGATGAAGCTAGTTATTTAATTTAAAGCTTTTGCACCACTGACCAGGGCTGGCCATTGGAGTACTAAATCTTGCTATAGTCTTACCTCAGGTAGTTATTGTCTTCATTGCCGGTTGCCTGTTTTGCTTGATTATGAAAGTTGAATATATGCTTTGTCCAACTAATGTTTGATGATAACTAAAACAAAATATAGCCATTTTATTTGAGTTGGCTTCATTGTTTGTGCTACAGATGATTTTCTGATATGATATAGTTTCTTTTTCTTATTAGATGATTGTGTCCCTTGGTGCGGGTCCGTGGGACCAATTATTTGGTGGTGGAAATATACCGGCTTTTGTCCTGGCATCAATATCTGCCTTGGCAGCTGGTGTCATTGCAATTAACAGGCTTCCAACTCTTAATAGCAGTTCCTACAAACCAACTGGCTTCCACTTTGGTTGATCAAATATTCTTGGATGAGATGATTACCACTTACATATGACACTGTCAGCCACATAGACCAGTATCGAGCGCACAAATCTTCGGATCTTACTCCTATCATTTCTCTTCAGGGAGATGAGTATTCCACACTTACGTTTCATTCAGTTTCTACCCGAGTAGGCAATTCTTGTGCTAGTATTTATGTACATTATTTCTGTAAGAAGCATATAAACCGGGAAAAAAGCATAGATATGATAGCTTACAGCCCTTCTGGGATCTCTTCATTCTTTTATTTGATATATAGCAGAGCTGCCATTTTCAATCATGTCACTGATAGTTTTCGGACACTATAGAGGTGTAATAGAAATTGAATAGTATGTAGACATCGAGGACCCCACACTTCCGAATTTTAAGAAATTTTGTTATTTTCTCTTAAGATATTTGTCGTGCTGGCGTTGGGAAATTATATGCATTAGGCTTGATACTTGTACAAATTTAATGTCTTCAGTATGGTGTGAAAATGTGTCGAGTCGTCTAGGCTGCATGTAAAGAGCCAGGCCAACAACATTCTTTTCTGGGCACTAAATGAAATGTGTACGAGGAATATTGAGATGTGGTACAAGTTTAGCAGAGTACGAGTTTGATGTCTGTCTGTCTCTAGTGAATTTCCTTGGTAAAAGGCAAATTATACATGAGACAAGTTTTAACAAGTAAGCTACAATCCAAAAGATGAAGCCAATTTAAGATTATTGATTGATTATATTAATAGTATTATAACTCATTCTATGTGAATTGGGATTTTATTTGTTACTATATGTTTAGGGTAATTGGCGCAAAATGTCCCTACCTTTGCCTGTCTTTGTGGAAAACGTCCCTATCTTTCGTTTCTTGACGCAGAACGTCCCTACCTTTCACTTTTTTTATGCAAAACGTCATTTTCCCTAGCTATTTAGGGTAATTGGCGCAAAATGTTCCTACCTTTGCCTGTCTTTGTGGAAAACGTTCCTATCTTTCGTTTCTTGACGCAGAACGTCCTTACCTTTCACTTTTTTTATGCAAAACATCATTTTCCTTAGCTTTTAACAAAAAATGACCATTATACCTTCCAATTTAAATAAAACAAAAAGGAAAAGAAGAGAAAAATAAAAAACAAATTGTAATATTATTCCTACACTTTTTCAAAAATGCAAATCAGTTCAAAACACTAATTTAATTTCACCCAATATCACAAATTCTAATTCTCTCCCTCCATTCCCTCTCTGCAACAAAACTCAAATTTCTCAATTCCCAAAACTCCACAACAATTAGACAAGGAAATCCACCGAATCCGACTATAATCCTATTGATATCAGAATTAAACTCAAACAAATGGCCAAGATTATCAACAATGGTCATACAGACAACATAAAAAGCCCTGCAGGCGGTAGGGGAGTCGATGGTGAAGCGGCGGGATATTGCAGAGAAGAGGGCAATGCGGGCCAGGCGGAAGAGGTGGCGGTTGAAGCTCCGGTTGAATTTCACCCGAAAGTTTGTTGTTCCTTAGCATTAATGCGAGTAACTGAAAACAGCCAACAATGTTCAAAGGGATCGAGCCTGATAACAAGTTGTGTGACAAATCAATCACTTGAAGATATGTCAGATTTCCAATTCTCTCTGGTATTTCACCTGTAAGAAGATTGTGTGAAAGAAACAATGCCTGCAAACTTTTCAATTCAGTTAATGATAGATCAAGTAGTAAAATTCCAGACTTCTCGGCTTTCTCAATAATACCACTTGGAAGATTTCCCCACAATCATTAAAACTCAAGTCCAAAACAACCAACTTCTCTGAGAAAACTAATCTTGGGGAAATCCTATATCTCACTGCATTGTGGGACAAATTTAAGCGTGTCAACCCACGAAGACCAGAAATACAAGCCGTGATTCCTCCCACAATTGAGTTATTTGCTAAATTAAGCACCGACATTGATTCAGCTGCTGACAAGAAACAAGGCAAATTGCTAGATAACCAATTCGACTCGAGATTGAGATACACCAAAGCTTGATGAAATTCAACAAGATTTCCCATCAGATAATTGTGAGACAAATCCAAGCCACTGGATTTCCCATTATGCTAGAACCCATTTCAGCAGGCACCACCACTGGACTTGACGCCTGCATAATTAAGCTCCCTCTATTTTTTGCGGTCCTGAAAAGCACAGGATTCATTGAGCGCAAAACCCTCCATTTTTAGTGTGAACAAAAGGACCCAAACTTTTTGCAAGGGGAGGCAGCTGCGGAGGATTCTGGGGAAGTACAACAATTGGACTCCCAAATACACCCAAACTGCTAAGTGGAGAATGTTGAAAGGTCCTTTCATTTAAGCCCCACTCAAGCATTAAAGCTTCAGTCTCCAAGTCCTCCAACGTTGAGGCCCTTGTTTTAGTACTCAAGACCTCAGTTGGGTTGTAAAGAGAGAATGGAGGGAGAGAGTCCGGGTTTGTGACGTTGGGTGAAATTAAATTAGTGTTTTGGACTAATTTGCCTTTTTTAAAAAGTTCAGGAGTAAGATTACAATTTATTTTTTATTTTTCTCTTCTTTTCCTTTTTGTTTTATTTAAAATGGAGGGTATAATGATCATTTTTCGTTAAAAATTAGGGAAAATGACGTTTTGTGCAAAAAAAGTGAAATGTAGGGACGTTTTGCGTCAAGAAACAAAAGGTATGGACGTTTTCCACAAAGACAGACAAAGATAAGAACGTTTTGCGCCAATTACCCATTTGTTTATTATACTGTGTAGTACTATATAAATAGTTAACACGGTCAAATCCTAATAGAAAAATTCAGCAAACCAACATGTAAATATAAAATTGTAGCCTAGTGGAGCCAGTGGTTGACAAATCATTTTCAAGAGGAAGGGGGAAAAGAGTGACTTCAAAAATAGAAGGGTACGTGTGGAAGAGAAGATTCAGTCCCTTTTTATACAATTTTTCTTCTTTTATATGCTTATATCTTACGAACTTTTATGAATATTTTAGCATCATACATGCCAGATAATGAGCATGTTTGGTAAAAAATTTCATTTTTAACAGTAAATCAATTCTCATTTTCAACCACACATTTTTCAATAAAATAATATTTTCTATCACATCAATAATCTTATCTTCTTTTTCAACCACACATTTCCCATCATATCACTATTCAAAATCAATTCTTCCCCCAAAAAATCNTTGTTAATGATATTAAAATATTAGATCACCATAGAGCAATATAACAATAAAAAAAGTGTATGAATAACAAATATAAAACAATAAATCCTACCATGAATATCAATCCAAAGCCAATCCCAAGCACACATTAAAGATTCTAAAGTTTTTGGATGAAGCCTATTTCTATGTGGACTTACACATCTACTACTTGTACTAAAAGCTGGCTCAAATGCCACAGTAGATACTGGAATGACTAATAAATCTCTAGCAACTTTCTGTAAAGTCGGATATTTTATGAAACTTGTTTTCCACCATGTCAATAAATCAAAACCATCCACCATTGGCAATACTGGCTCGTCTAGAACAACATCAAACTCTATTTTTACATAATCAGCGATAACGGAATGGCTAACAAATTTATCAAAACCAGCCATGCGAGAATGGTTTCCAACAGTAGTAAACGACTCTGATTACGAAGATAATGAAGAGTGAGATGTATTTTCTGTCCAATGACGTGGTCTCTTGTACTCTTTGAGCAACTTATGACAAAATGTTTTAACCTTTTCAACCTCTATCTGCGCTCCATCTCCAAAGATCAAAGAAAAATGGTATTAAACTAGTTTCATCTTGTATCTCGAATCTAATACAGTTGCAACAGTTAGAATTCCATGCATGCCACTCCAATATTTGGCAAACCTTTCCTTCATGCTTGGTGCCATCCATTTGACTTCATCACAAGATGATTTGCTCCAATCACGGATTGCCAACTTTATGTCACAATATTTGGAAAGTACAGATTGGCGATAGGATATTTTATACCTGAAAATAATTTAGTTGCTTCATAAAATATCTCTAACTTATCACAAATCTCTGTAGCCAAGTTCTAGTCACTCTCATTGATGCATCATCTTGAATGCCAGTAGCGGTATCTCCAACTGCAACTGAAGCACTTCCAACTGAAGTTTGAGGATTCGAAACAGAATACCTTGACCCATGGTAAGACATCTGAGCCACCAATTAATACATTTTTATTAAAATGGTGTATTCAACATTATCATAATCCTAGAAGCAGAATAAACTAAGTGATTTGATAAATAAAGGGCACCAAATTTTACATAAACTAGAAAACAAAGAAGGCCATAAACATCATTAGTCATTGATTAGTCCATACTCATGCGATGTCTTCTAACAATCTATAGTAACAAGGCACAATTTTTTTTTTGACTACCTCATATAAAAATGTAAATCCTCTTCGATTTCATATTAATATTTTTTTGCCCTTCTCACTGTAGAAGAATCGAAAAACATTGTTTCTCAACTTTGGGGTTGAAACATTTACACACAAGACCAAGTATTTGGATATCATGCTATACAAGATATGAATTCAAACTTGAATCTGCTTCCACCAAGTTATAACTGCCATTTTTAGCAGGCAATGCCAATAAGTAGTGCACTTGTTTCAGAAAATATTAGTACCAACTACCAAGGATGAGTAAGCAAATAGAATGATAACTTTTTTTATCAGGAACCACTTTTCCACCTCCATAAGCACCTGGGTTGCTTTTTGAGCAGCCATCTGAATTAAGTATTAGGAACAATATAGAGGAATAATCCGCTTAATCCTTTAAATTTCCACTTTCTTCTTAAAGCCAGATAAGAATTGCATAAAATAAAACCAATTTGTTTAGTAGGCAAGAAATTCCGAAAAGCCAAGAGCACAATATCCTGGAAACCATGAAGTACTTGACTAACATAGACAGCTGTCCAGCACTAACTGAAACTTAAACCTTTCATAATATTTTTAAGCATCTAGATTTTGGCTTTCCAGCAAGGCTATAGCAGTAATGGATTTCTTTCAAGGAAATATCCATTATTCTTTCAATCTCAAACCCGAAAGAAAAGGCTAACTTTAGTCTCAGGTCATGTGAGTCTTTTGGAAACTAGTTTTACGGAGAGATTCTACAGAATGCAGTGGCAACAATCAAATATTCAAAATTTCAAATGTATTATCGAACTAAGTACAAATCAAATCTACTGGATGTAGTGTTGAAATATGAAATCAAAGTTGAAAAAGAAAAAGGGTACCAGCTCATAAGGAAACCCGCTCTTCACATATTTCAATGGTATAAAATTGAAATTCACCAAAAAAAACTTAAATTATAGACTAATATGTTTTTCTTCCGTCTAATTTGAGTTGAATTTGAATATTTTGGATTCTTGGAATGATCCGCAGAGAGACAACGATGGATCGGCTGCTCCAGAAATGAAATGACGATTTGTATTTGAGCCACATTATTTTGAAAGAATGTATTCTATGATAGTAGATTGATGGAGAAGTGTGGTTGAAAAAGAAGAAAATATTATTGTTGTGATGGAAAATATTATGTTATTAAAGAATGTGTTGTTGAAAATGAGTAGAAGGATGAGAATGAAAAATAATGTGGATCAACTAAAGGCTCAAATTTTAAGGGAAAAATTCACAACTCAGACTTTATCTATCCCAAAATAAAAAATCGAGCCACAAGGTTTAGAATTACAAAAATCATGTTTTTCATGAATTAATTAATTACATTTCACAATTATTATATTAAATTAAATATTTAACTGTAATATAATATAATCACCCCACCTCCACCTCCCCTACTACTCCAGCGACCACTCAGGCAACTGTTTCCGGTCACAGATCAAAAATTTTGTAGGTCACAGATTATTTCATGGTCACAAATCTAAAATTTTTAGGTCATAATTTTTTTATCGGTCACAGATCAAGAATTTTGTAGGTCACAGATTATTTTGAGATCATAAATCTAAAATTTTATAGGTCACAAATCAAAGAGATTATATGCTGCAGGTACGTATTTTCAAATTTATTGGTCACAGATTCTTTTTTTAGTTACAAATTATCAATTTTAAAGTCACAGTTTAATAGCCAAGTCACGGACACCAAAAAGGACCACCACCGCCGTTGACCCCGCCACAACAATAACAAAAAATGATTACCACCACACAACCGCCACCACAAATCCACCACCACCGCCCGAAACATACCACCATAGATCTACCACCTCCACAACCACACATCCTTAGATCTGCGACATTTTCCAAAACCAGACCACATCTTCGCGACGGTTGCCACCGGATCCACCGCCCACCACAAACAGTGGGTCACATACATCTGCACCATCGACACCACCTCCAACGACTGATAATAGCAGAAGATAGAGAATAGAATAAGAAGAAGACAGCGAGAAACTGGAGTTACCACCGGCAAAAGCACCGTCCAAGTTTTGTCGCTAGCCATTCCATATCGTATGTGTTCTGGTGTGGTACTCCGTGCTAATCCTCGAGTTTTTGCCCACTGATTCGCTACGGTTCGTCCTCGCGGTTTGCTGTGGCTGTGACGTGAGTGCCGGGAGAAAGAAGATAAGAAAAGAAAGAGAGGAGGGGACAAAGCATCGTGCGCAGCTACCGTTCACAACAGCATCGCGACGCCAGCAGGGAAGGAGGAGGAGGTGGCAAGCGGTGGTGGGAGGAGGATGGAGAGAACGACGTTGTGGAGAGAGGTGAGAGAATGGAGATAAATGGATAGATTTAGACTTTGGATAGATAAAAATGATAAAAACCTGAAAAGTGGAAAAAAAGTGAAAACCTGATTATTTTAAAACGTGAAACTAAACACCTAGTTTATGGTAATTTCCCAAATTTTAATGTGGTGAATGACATAATGAGTGTGATATAATGATAAATAGGTTAGATTATAAATGAATTGGATTGGACTTTTGGGTAATTGGCTCAATTTTTTAACTGGGCTTGTCCAAAAAAGAAAACTAAAACTGGACCTGGCTGGTCCAGCCCC